TTGTGTTTATTCTACCATATTTTGCAGGTTCCACGAACTATAAAAATATGGTTGACGCCAAAAAGAACTATAAAATATAGTGAGATTATAGTTAATTCAACGATATTTTTCTATCAGTGTACTTCTTGCTCGTTAATTCGAACGTGTTGCTTTGTCCTGGAACCCTCCGCGGATAACGGTGTAATTTCCAAAATGGTATCTTCCGCAGCACCTTAATTTTCATTGTCGATCAACGCCGATGCGCCGCTCTGTCGCATTGATACCGACGGAAAAAAATGATCAAGTACCGCGCGAACGTACTTGTGCAACGTAACATAACCGATTTTGCAAGAAGTCGTCTGGTCTTTAGCGGAATCACACCGCGCTGCAGCGACCGCCTCGCGAGTTCGTTGCACTCCTTTGCGACATTTTATAATTATGACCGCCACCGACGCCGTTACGTTCTGCGAACACCGTGCAAAAATGCGCGATATCATTGGTGGACATTCGACACACCGTGGCGGACGGAGTTGCCTAATAAGTCCAACGGACATGACGATATTTTTGCCGACATGCCTGACCCACGCGACTTCGAGCGGTCGCGCATTTGACGCGAAATCTCCAGGATTAGCCTGGCAAGTGCCTATCTCGACGAGCACCTCTCCACCGGGATTCACGGAGACTTTAGGATGTGACTTTAGGATGTCGGTACAAATTTTAATCGTGTAAATTGCGCAATGCCCAATGACAATACGTTATATCAAATCTGCTGGCAATCTTGTCTTTTACGTGATAGATACTTTAGGCTCTCGCGGTGTAGAGAAATATTTTCTAGAAACTTCCAGGAAAACTTGCACCGCCTGAAGAAGTCGACACTTGAAATGTTCGGTCACGAAGCGTCGGAAACAGACGGATCGGGCTGGCACCAACTCGAAACTAAATAAAGCATTGTATTTCTTGTTTTACACGCATTCCATCGCAGGTTATACACATCGTGTTTGAAACATCGATATTGCACGTACAATCTAAAGTCTCTTTAGAAGTAATCGAATATGTATGAAAGCGACGACAATTTTACCTTCAATCACGTTCTCCGATTGTTCTTAATGAGGAAACATGGAGGGCGGTACGTCGCAAATTTGTAACGCGCAAAGATATCGTTGAAGTCTGACGGTCTGACTTCGTCAAGCGACTGATAGCAGATGAAGAGGCTCGCCTCGCGAGATAACGGCCGACTGACGGGTCGGGTGGCAGCAGGTGAAGCTTGTCTACAAGCGTTGCGTCATGACTGCGCGATTAAATGCTAAGCTCTAACGGTTCCGCTGGAAATTTCGGGCGCCGCCAGAGCGAGCATGTAGAAGGGGCCAAGCACGTAGTAAGTAAGTACAGTGTATGCCGGGACCTACACCTTGACATTCGACCGACGAATAGAGAAAATCGTGTCAAACGTATCGTGACTTCCTCGACCTAAATTCGGCTGGAAACGCGGCGGGCCGAAAACGTCGGAAATTGGCTGCCGAATTAAGCCGCGGGGACACGGAATTTCATGCCTCCGCCGCGCCGTTTCGAGCGAGCGAAAATTCGTAAACTCCTCGCGGCCTCGCGAGAATGTCCGAGCGGCCAGACCTAGAAGAAGTCGCTGGCTGGAAAATAGGTGGGCGGTCTTATCGAGAACGAAGGAAGAAAAGAGTTTCTTATATTTCTCACTGCGGACGCAGCTCGCAAATCCCGACTTGCAGATTGCGTGAGAAAATATTTTAAGAGCCTTCGAGAGAAAAATAGACCTCAACGTGGCGATGCATGATGGAACTTGCAGTCCACGAAGCGTCGTTGGAAACGCGCAAACCGGCGCGGATTACGATACGACTTCGAGACTTCAGCTCGGATATTCTCTCCTTCTCAGGATTTCCTCCTTGGTCAACCATCTCCGTCTCGGACTCCGTTCGCGACACGACCGGTGGGTCTCGACTGAATTTATCTGCATGCGACGTACGCACACTCCTCCTATGCACACTCTCGTACGCGCGCGCGCACCTTTCACGTGCAGCTCGGCAGACGAATTCGCATTGGACGACCTACCGCGGTATTCGGCCTGCTAATTAATTACGCGAGCGCAGTGCGCACCTTCGTTAATTACAGTCCGTGGCAGTCTTACCTGCCCTTCCCTCGCCGCCATCGGCGCAACGCGAAATAACGCCACGATCGAGGCATAAAGTTTCGGAAAGATACGAGCGTAACGAAGTGGTAATGCCATCGCGCGGTGGCTGCAGAACGCGTTATGCTTCGGCACGCACCACTGGCCACGCACTCTTTTTCTCGGACGAGTGTAACGCGAAAAAAGAGATCGTGCAAAATCGTGACATCGTTCCTACCCGCGGCTCGTCGTCGCGGCGAGCATTAAAATCTTAGCGGACGCTGGAACATTTCGTTTCATAAATCGCAGGAACGGCTGGAGGCGCTCACTCGTTGCTGAACGAAGGATGTACGTTTGCATTCGCCATTGTCGTCCCTCCGCGCCGCGAGGTTGCTCTTATCCTGTGTGAAAGGAGATACAAAAGATCGAAATATAAGAGTATAAGGATGACAAGGACGAGGACAAGAGGCAAACTAGACTCCTAGTTTTCGTGCTCCGATTTGCGATCCTTAATCTTTCTTAATCTTTTTAGGGAAATTAGAGCCGAGTCAGAACGCCATCGATGTTAATTCGACGTCGATGAGGTTTGAATGAACGTTGATTCGACTCGATTTCGAGTCGACTCAATATTTGCGCTTTTGACTGGGAAGCAAATTCTCTGCTGAAACCATCGGCCGTGTGTCCAGCTGCGTTGAGAAAGAAGTCCTCGAACCGTGCTAAAACAAAATGGCAAAGTAACGAACCTGATGAGCTGCAAAGTGTGTGAGTCAAGTTTGGATGAAGCTGAAAAATATTTGGGACGTAAATAAATGGCGTGCAAGCTGTGCGCGCAGCGCTCTATTAACACTCCCAAGCACATGTAACGACGCTTGTAGCGACAATTATAAGGGTCGCTTTCGTGTCGTGACCGAAACAGTGTGCTGGGCAAACATCATGAAAAAACGAACAAAAGGGAAGGTATAGAAATGTGACACCATTGAAGGTGAAACTTTCATCGAAGGTAAGCAAAAACGCTACCGTGACATTCATTCGACAGGGCAATTGAAGATTGTTCACTTTGACCGCTTGAACCGTAGACAAAAAAATGAACTCTTAATTTTCAGGCTGAAACGCATGTTGAAGCCCCGGCGGTTAATGGTCCTGGCAAAAGGACCTCCTAGAGCGAAAGGATTCACTGGGAAGCGGAGTTTGTAGAGTTTTGCGTAGAACGGAGAAATGGAAGGTAAACCGACCATTTTGTCCTTTATGTTTAACAATTTCATTCGTCCTTTCGCCGCTTTAAAGTCCGTTTATTTTCAATGAAGCTAATATACGGGGAGTCCCAAAAGTAACGGACCACTCTAATAACTCTTCAGCAGTGAAGTTTCAAGGAAAATGATTTCAATAAAAGTTGTAGGGATTTAAGTGAGCTATCTTATGATGACCTTAACTTTGACCTTGACCTCTATTTTCAAGGTCATTTGGAGATCAACTTGCGTTTTTTAAATGGGAACCCCTATTTTTTTACACTGTTTTTCTTTTCTTTTACCAATTAATATGAACAACTTTTGTCTAGAACGTTTTCTTATTTGCCTAATATTTTTTGAGATATTTGAGGAAAACTCGACACCTTTTTCAATATTTAACTTACGATATCTCGCTAATTATTTGTCGGGAGGAAAAGTGGTATTAGACCTTCTTGCTTTATTTAGTCTCAAAAATATATTGTTACAGTTAGTGCCCTGATGTTTGTTAATTTGATGATTTTGAAATTTCCAAAAGTCAGTAAATTAACAAAAGTCAGGGCGCTATTGTAACAATATATTCTTGAGACTAAATAAAGCAAGAAAGTCTAGTACTACTTTTTCTTCCGACAAATAGTTAGCGAGATATCGCAAGTTAAATATTGAAAGAGTTATCAAGTTTTCCTCAAATATCTCAAAAAAATATTAGACAAGTAAAAAAATATTTTAGACAACAGTTATTCAAATTAATTGGTAGAAATAAACAGTGTAAAAAAATAGGAGTTCCCATTTAAAAAACGCAAGTTGACTTTCAAATGACCTTCAAGGTCGAGATCAAGGTTAAATTTGAAGTCGCAAAAATACAGAACTTTATGAACCCTAAAACTTTTGTTCGGATCATTTTTTCCTATAATGCATAGATTCTGAGATAGGAGGGGAGGGGGGTCCGTTACTTTTGGAAAACTTGGTATATATATATTTTTATATTTACATTTATACAGGATATCCGGGATCTTTTGGAAACGAAAAATTGTGAGGATAATTAATCAGATGAAACTGAGAAGAAAAGTCATGCAACAATTATACGACGACTATTGTGTCTAGCGATAGATATGGGCGTATTGAACTTTGTACCCTGAATTTTGAGCCTGTTAGAACAATAGCGATCACATAATTGTAGATTAGGTTATTCTGAACAAAAAAAGTCCGTTATCATCTTCTTTCTCTCCTCAAGAAGCGTAGGTTCGACATATCGACCTGATTCAACCTGCCTAACTGGACGATTCTTCTGGAAACCGGAGGAATTCTCTTCACTTTTACCGCGCAGCGACGGACGGAAAAGTGCGAGCTACGCGCGCGGTGCAGTTTTTTTCACGCGCAGTTACGTAGCCGAAGCCGCAAGAACGTCGGGCTCGTAATCTCGTATTTACGTACGCACTTCGCGATATCCGACTCACCTCGCGGCTAAATTCCTCGAGACATTTTTGATCGCTGCAAATTACATACATTACGCATGCGCACCTCGGCACGAATGCGTGTGTCTCTGCATTTTTATTATAAAATAACATTCCTCGATGAGATGAAGCTTAGTGTAGCTTAAGCAGTCAGAGCTGAAGAAGTTTTCAGCATCCCGGGAAAGTTGGTAGGAAAGTTACAAGCGGTGAAACAAGCGACATTTGCGTTTATTTGCAACCCACACGTGGAAGCTTACATCGAGCGACCTCAAGCGACAGAACGGTGCATCGCGCATACGTTGCAGTTTACAGTTGGTGGGCATCGCGTAAGCGCGCAGTCGCGCGCAGTCCTAACGACGATACCTACGACTTCTTTCGTTGTTTTGCTTTCTCTTTCGGAACTGGCATGCTCTAGTTCGTCCGAAGCCGTCCCATCTATCTATCGGTAGCACTTGCCATTGGTTCGCGCGGCTCCGGCGCTCTTTTCTCAATACGATCGCGTCGGAACGGCGAGCGAACCGCAAAACCGAAAGAAACGCGACGGAGACACGGACGGAGAGCCCGCGTTTACCCAGTTTTGCGTCCCCGATATATATATATATATATATATAGATATATATATATATATAGTTAAATATCTCGCTGTCTGTACCTTTAACGGTTCGTAACGTATTGTGCGGGCCTCCGCGTATGCATACGTCACATTGTTCGTGCGCGTATATGCACGAGTGTAACGAGTGTAACTCACACGCAGATCTCCACGTAAATAGCTCGAGAAATTGCCGGACACGCGCTGCCCCGAGAAATCAAAGTCTCGAAATTCGATAACCGGTAACCGGTGTGGCGGTTCCCCGGAGAGTCAAATAACGCCGAAATTCGGACGATATTTATTTAATTTTACCACCCATCTGGCGCAACACGAAAAGAAAGAAGGATCGCGCACATGTCTTAGGCAGACGCCGATAAATGAAGAACGGCACGTTTCTTTTTTCTTTTCAGGGCAATGCATGTCCCTGGAGGAACTTGTCTGAATATATAAATAAATTCTATACGAGCATAGCTTGTCATGGCTCGTTAAATTAGATTCTATCTCGGAGGGATCTGATACACATTTGCGCCACCCAGAACTTGATTCGCGTCCCGATCGATCAGTCGTCCTCACACCCGGCGGAAGTCATCAGTCAAAGAGCGACTCGTGTAAGCGACGGATATCTCTCCAGACAGAACCGGGGTAACAATGTTAATCAATCCTGTAAATCCGCTGATCAGTTCTATCGCGCATCACGCCGAATGTTGACCGAGCTGACCGGTGCGAGCGCGACGAATGTTCCCCTTTTGCCGCGGCAGTTCGCTATATTTTACAGACAATAGTGTGTAAATAAAAAAATGTTAAATAAGAAGAAAATAGTATAGTGAACACAATGTGTCACAATGTATCGAGCACATCACGTCGGCGACGCATCGGAGAATTTTTAATTTGTAGCGCGATCGGCGTGATCCTCCGTGCGCGGATATCGGCAGAAATCTGCGAAGGGGGAACGAGTCTCTTCGAGTAGTATAAAAATATGCGACTATGCCCCCGCGGCCTACTTTGCGCGTTTCGGCAACACCACGCTGGCGATCCGTCGCCGTCGCCGACGCGGAAACGCGCCATCCGCCGCGAGAAAGACGGTCTACGAGTAATATTTCTTGATTTCCTTAAGCAGAGCAGGCTCGGTCGCCTCGTTGATCTCGACGAATCTTTTGTTGGCGCGGCTGAAGTAATAGATATCCCCGGTGTAAATATCGAACCACAGGGCGTGGATGTGCAGGTCGTGCCTCTCCAGGCGTTTCTTCAGGAAGCCGTAGGACGCGACGTTCTGAAGCTGCTGCAGCGTGTTGATCTGCAACAAGGTGGCGAGACTCGATGAGGTCGTCCGTGTTCCGTTCTTTCCTGCTTTTTCTCTTTCTCTTTTTCACACGCGTACTAACTTGCGACAGCTTGTCCTCGATAGCGAACTTATCCTCCGGATCGATGTAGGCGACGAATTTTCGCAGCGGCGTCTCGGCCTGAAAAATAATCGGCTCGTGGAAACCGGCTACTTCGAGGTGCTGAAACTTCGCCAAACTGCTGCTGGCGTGCGCGCACAGCCACGCTCTCAGCGGCGAGATCCTCCTGTTCATCTAAAATTCGCCCGGCATTATACACACACGTACGGCACGCGAGCGCGAGCGCGCGCTCGACAACGAGATGCAAAGGAAATGCGCATCTCGTTATCGGGTCTCGTTATCGATACATTTTCATGAGAAATACGCGGCGACAGGAGTGAACGCACTTGAGACGCAAATTCCTCGTCCCGCAGCGCGTACAGCAAGTTCATCGCTTTGCAATCGCTGTGGCCGCAGACTATAACGTGCCTGATGTCGTTCACCACGCAGCCGAGCTCCAGCGCCGCTGACTCGCACATGGTGAATTCGTCCACGAAATGCTGCGAGTGCGGGACGACATTGCCGGGATTCCGCACTGAAAGAGCAAACTCCCCCCCCCCCCCGCCCGTTAAATGCGGAGCCGCGTCGACGATCGCTCGCTTCCACCACATCGCGATATAAGTCGGAGAAAATTCGGAAACCCTGTCGGGCGAAACGAATGTTCCAGAAGAGATCCCTGGAGATTCTTACGTACGATATCTTTCTCCGCCCTTTTAATCGATGCAAATCGATCTTTTTCTACCTTTGATACAAACACTACCCTTTTTCTACCGTAAATTCCACCCTTGAGACAAATATCTTTTTTTATCCTTTTATAAAGAAGCATTCAAGAATGCACAATAAACCTCTCTAGGAGGAATAATATATGAAGATATGACGCTCACAAGAAGAGCGAAATATTTCAGAGAATTTTACATTACTTTCTTCTCTTCGAGATAGACGTAGAGAAAATTGCAAATAATAAAAAGACAAGGAACGAGGATTTGTTTGACTGAAAAGAAAATTCGGACGTATGACGTGCGGTTTCTTTGATTTTTCTCCGACTCGGAAATGCAAGGACTTTAATGAACGAAAAAATGTTACGTATGCAGGAGTGACATTATCGACTCGATTTGAAAGAACGATATGTTAGCTCGTATGAAACAAAATTCTATTTCGGGAGATGCAGCGTCGGAAGATGCATTCGGATCGAAAAGAACGAGAAATAATGCGTCACGCAATTAATGCAATAAAAGAAATTAATAATAGACACGATAATGCCATATTAGATTGTCGTACCGACAAACATGTCCCCAACGTTTGTTTCCGTAAATCTAGTTGGTATCATCCGGGAGTCCATGCAGGTAAAGAACACTGCCTTTGGCTGTGATAAGAGCAACAATAGATATCAAATTACGAGTATTTGTGATAAGGGAGACGAGATTCGATTGTTACGGGAGAGACAAGTTGTTACGTTCAAAATATACATTTTCTATATTTATTTGGGAAGCAATTTCTGAAATGATAAAAGATCAAACATCAAGTAATACAGGTAAAATAATTCTTCCAGAACGAGGAAGAACGTTACTCGTCTCGGAGGCGCACTTTCTGTTTATTACGAAAAATATATATATACATATATATATATATATATATATATAAAGTATCCTAAACGTCAAGAGCCTACATTTGATTCATATCAGAGGAGGAACACCGCGCGAAGAGTGCTGCCATCTGTTGTCAGGAAATATCTCGAAAGTAACAACTTACTCAATAACGGTAACATAGATCTAGAACACTAATCACTAGGTAATAACCAATTTCTCGACTATCGTTGAGTCCGTTTTGAAAACACAGAAGCCTTTTTTTGACCTGCTATCGAGTTGCCACCAGCTGAAGATAGAAATGTTTAAGTGTTTCGTTTCTGTTTAAATAATATTAAATTGGAAAAGAAAGCTATCTCGACTTCAGAATTACTGATCGCACTGAAAAGATCCAAAGAAGACAATCGTGGTCTTTTGCACTAATCTAGACGTTCGCATTGTACCACTGTCGATAATACAGATTTCTACAAATGGATAAATTGTGACATCAGGTTCGCTCGTTTTTGAAGAACTTTTGAACTGGTGCCATAATTCCGAGTAAAACACGCGTATTTTCTCTCACTTTACCTCAGCTTACGCTAGCGTGCTCTGGTTCAGAAGTTCTACGAGAACGAGCAGGCCTCTGTCGGTAACATCAAACACCACTGTGTGTTAATCGTCAAACATTCTTACTAATTATTATCGTTAGATCGATCTCTCAAGGACATATTTCGGATTGCATTTAACCGAACGACGGAAAGAGTCATCGAACTCGAGGTAAAATAATTGCGTGAGATCAATTGAGTCCACTCGCATAGTCCGTGACGATTTTTGTTGGGAGATTGTTATCAACAAAAAAAGGAACACGCGGCCTCGCGCCCGATGACGCGTCGCGACCACCTGCGACTATACTTGCGTGTTAAAAGATGACGCGAGACATACTTCCGAAGGAAAATTTTGCACATGGATGAACATACCTCGGGATGATCCCGAACTTTCTGAAACTGCTTCACCATTCCTTCCCGATGGCACTTCCTGTACTTCATGATCCCTTTAAGTATCCTGTCCATCGCGGCATTCGGATAATACTATACCGTTGAAAACTTACTTTTCCGGAGATCTGTAGATATCACAGTACACAATTCCACCATTTCCAGAGCTAACAGCGGGAAATTTAAAACTTTGATTCGTTGAGGAGCGATAGGCGATTGCGCCGACGAGTCTTGGTTTTGTTTTCATTGATTTACCGAAAGACCACGATTGTCTTCTCTGCATCTTTTCAAATGCGATCAATAATTCTGAAGTCGAGATAACTTTCTTTTCCAGTTTAATATTATTTAAACAGAAACGAAACATTTAAACATTTTCATTTCATTTAAACATTTCTCGTATCTTCACCTGGTGGGACTCAATAGCAGGTCAAAAGGCTTCTGTCTCTTCAAAACGGACACAAGACGGTAGTCGAGAAATTGTTTATTTATTAATTTCTTTACGTCTAACATCAGTTGAGTGTTGCCGCCATCAAGGAGTCGCATCACGAGCAAGTCAGAATACAGCATGGAACAATACCAGTCACGTATACGCAGTCATTGTACACATCGATAAATTACAAATGCATTATGATCACGCAACATGCATATATACATATAATACGAACGCTTTTTGCATTATTACGGTTCTAATAAACAACGTCAGATATCGATAGTCTTCCTTTCCAGATGTCATACAGTTAGGTTGTCATAAACGCTCACGCTGAAAGCCGTGTATTAAAAGTTACTTTGTGACCCAGTTTCGTCAACGAAAGATCACACCCTCGTTGTCATCATCATTTCAACGACGCGGGGTATAGAGCTTCCGTTTGTGGTAAATTCAACAGTTATTAACAGGTTGGACCCGGGTGACGAGGCGCCTGGGTCGCGCCGACTTCTATCTGCTCAATGCTGAACTTTGACTGGCACGTTCCAACTTTTCAAAGTGCTTTCGGGCATTGCGTATATTAATCAACGTCGCCGCGGATGCTGTGGAAAAGATCACAGATGTTGAACATCTTCCGGACGCACATACTAAAAGGTAAAAATTCTGGATGTACTTACGTATAGTCGGGTCGGACATGATAACCATGACGTACGTGTTCGAGGTAAATATGTCGATAAAGGCCGCGAAATTGGTGTTTCTAACTTCCATACTCTGAAACTGCGCCGCTAACTTACTGAAAAGATAATCATAGTGCTCATATATCTACATCCTGATGAACACATAGTCTTTTCTCTGAGCGCTATATTTACCTGCAACTCAGTTTGAATTGCTTTATTATATTAGAAACCTTCTCAAAACGGTGAACATCCCTGTGAAATTGCCGTTGACAATGGCTTATTACCAAAAAAGTTGCCCTCTCAAACAAAAGAACTTCATCAGCATCGATAATGTTGGCGAATTGGTTCAGGCTTTGTTCAAGTTCCTTCACATTGGGAATCAACATATATACAATGGAAGACCATGCCCTGTAATAATATATAATAACACTACTACTATCTATCTATATAATATAATTATATATCTATCAGGGAAATTGCGCGTTACATGTCAGTTCAATATAGAAATGATGGTTGACTATTATTATAGAATACTGACCTGTATAATGTTTCATCCCATATACTAGTTCTGAAGCAAGTACATTCTAGTGGCAAACTCAGTCTTTTCAAATCTTCCTCTCTCTCTCTAAATATAAAATCGCGTTGGTCTTCTTGTACAAGGTCCATTTTATGAACAAGACAAAATATCTTTGCTTCTGGACTATTTTGCAATATCGCCTCCAAACAGCTTTGATAATAATGCATGTCCTTGTCCAATTCCCTTGATTCCACATCAAAGACATAAATTAACACCTCTACATTCCTGAATATGTTGTCCCGCTGTGACGCAAAATAATTCTCCATAAACGCTTCTTGGCCTCCGCAGTCCCATAAATTTAACACCAGATTGCCAAGAAAACGAACATGGGAATGCTCCACATCAACTGTAACAAATTACATTGTATTAATATTATTGCATCATACTATTACATGATACTAATATTATATTATTGATATTGCATTATATTATTACATTAAACTCTACAGAGAGTATGAATATTTATCATAATATATAGTAAATAAAATGAATATTTATGTCATTGTATATCAAGTAGCTTATCCTTTTTGTATAATTTTAATTTATATTATTCTTAATATAAATTCATCTTCAAAAATATATGTGCAATATTTGTCTCATTTATTGTTGATACAACTTACTTGTTGCTCCTAGACGATGAGTGTCACGGGCAATATAGTTTGCAAATATGATGCTACGCATACTTGTCTTACCCGAACCACTTTTCCCCATTAACAAAACCTTAAAAGTAATACACAATTATATAGAATGAGTTGTACATGGCGCAGAAAAAATATCCGACAAAGTTCTATGTGAAACAAAAGATACAAGAAAGTCCATGTTGCATCATACAGATAAAAACACGAGATAAAATAAAATATAAAAAGAAATTAAAAAGATATATATATATATTTTTTTTCTAGATGTGTATGTATACATTTTTTTCCTTCCCCTACCTTTTTCTTCATCTTGAATAAATAATGCTTTTTCCAATAGTACTCAATAAAAAATATTTCAACAGAGTCTGCTTTCACTGTGCCTGACTTATCAGCTGTTCCGCCCCAGAGCAAGGGTCGCGCACAATACTCTCAACTCGCTACGATCGTTTGTCACAGACTATCGCATCAAAGTACACAATGTGTTCGTTACATGTCACATACTATTTCGAGGTTAATCGACATAATCAAACGCAAGAAACGCATTAAGAATCTACTATATATATATATGTATATATATATGTTCCATTTAAAACAGAATCATAGATTATATTGCAAAAATTAAGCTAACATTAAAACTGTGGTTGAAACTTTCAGATCATTTCAGATGAACAGTGTCATTCCTGCTCACATTTTTATCTCACAGAGACACAAATTGCTTACATTAATCTCAGCTTGTCGATTAATTTCTTTAAGCGTTTGCTTTCTCTTCGTTTTAGCAATAATAACTGTGTTTCGTACTCCAATATAGAATCTTTGACACAAACTTTTTTTAATAATTAACGTAAAAGCAAATGATGTTTACGTGCAGATGAATACATTTACAGGATATGCCCGCTTCTACCAACTGTGGCAAATTTAACTGGCTGGTTATTCCATAGGAATTGATCTAGCGCGTTTGTCAATTCTAATTAACGAGTCCTTAATATTATTTTAACAAACCCCTATTAGCTCGTTAAAGTAACAGTTTTATCAGGCTAATATAGCATACGTAGTGTACGACAAATTTGTCAGACATTCCACGTGGCTGAATTTCTAGAGCGCCTAACTTTTTCTCTAAGAACCCTAGAAATTCTCTATTTGATCCGAACGAGCCAATCCGAACGTTCGACAAGTCGTAGATGCATTAAACTTAGGCTAGGTTACACCGACATTATTTTAGTTTATTTAAGCAAGATTTATGTTTAAATCTATCTTTATCTCTTTTCCTAAATAAATAAAGACCGATACATATATATTTAAGTCTTGCTTAAAATCAAAATAAAAAATAAAGAAAAATACAATATAAAATGCGCACGACCAAAATGAATCGACCATAATAAAAGTGCCCTGGTTTACATATGTCAAATTTCTGTACTGCACCTGCGTTTTGCGCAAGTCTTTGGTCGAATCGATATATCACGTGAAGATCTCTCATGTGATCCTTCCCGTTTTCGATAGACTGAGGGGTTTGTACATTATACGTTCTCCGGCTTCCAGACTACAAGTTCCGTGAAATCTCATAATCGGATAATCAAGAAAGAAGGAAAATGGGAGCGACTGCCATACCTATATTGGCTTTTACGATCATATGGGGTATTGTAGGGATAGGTTTACCATTCTTCGTCCCTAAAGGACCAAACCGCGGGTAAATAAATTAATCTGTCTTTATTTGTCTATTGTCTGTTGCATTTTTCCCCTACATATAGATCGAAGAACATGTAATTGTTTTTTTTTACCCAAACGTCATTCTGCTATAAAGCAACAACTCTTGCACTTGTCAACGATAAAACTAACATTTTGAGTTCAGCTGGAAAGTAATTCCGAAACTTTGATCAGCTTTAAGGCATATCTGAGACAAGTTACTGTTCTGATTGAATATTATCTATATCCTTTACATATTTTTTAAGTATATTGATGTATGCTTCTAGAATACTTCAAGTGATACTGGTAATGACAGCTTTCACATGTTGGTTATTGTAAGTACAATGTTTCTATAGCACTTCAATGTAATTTATATATTAAATATTAATCTGTCAATGCAAATTATCTGTATATAGTTGGCTGTGTTGTTATATGGCACAAATGAATCCATTAATTGGGCCAAAACTAGATAGTGCAACGATAAAAATGCTGGCACGAGAATGGGTAACGTTGAAAATATAAATAACTATAATCGCTTTGTAACTGTATTGTTCAGTATAGTTCTTCTTGAGATCTTGTTACTGTTGTAAAAGAAAATTAAAATGGATAATTTCCTCTCATAAATATTATTTCTTAGCGAATAAATATGTAAATATTTGTTGCAGGGTAATCTTATCATGGAAGGTTAGATAACGCATATAGAAACTTTTAATCTTAAATATATGCATTTATTCTTTATCTTTCTCTGTCCTCTCTGACGTATATGTGCAAATAATGTTTTTGATAAAGCTGTATAATTACAGAAAAAAAACATCAAATGAAATGTTAGTACATTGGTCATTAGTATATTGAAAGCATATATTATTTGAAATATGATTAATTATGACTATTTAAAACCTAATTTATCTGCGAAACATCCATTACTTAGAGATGCCTGAAGATTAATGTAATTAATGTAATTTTTATTTTGATTGTATTATATAGTTATATGTTCATTATACATACAGCGATATTCATTGTTGTATAAAATCACGTATGACATGATAATGATAATATAATATATTGTTATTTCTTATATAATTCAGTATAATAGAAAGTTCAGAAGATTTTAAACAATATTATTATTATTATCCATACCTGTGTATATAATTGTAACAAATTGTTAAAATAAAAACTTAGCAATTGAAAATATTCTCAGACTAGGTTTGTTCTTACCTACATTTTTTAAGAAAGGAAGTATAACAAATATAAACACACAATATGTAAAAATTAAAAGACAATTTTCTTCAACAATAAAAAATGAACTTCATTTATTTTGATTTTCAAGTTATTGAAATTGAAGTTCGTGACTCGCTAGAGCGGTTTGAGTCTCAGCTAAATAACTGATAGCTGATGATTAAAAAGGTTTGAATCTTAGATATGTGACGTTGATATTTAGTTCCAAAGTCTCCGCTATGAGTCGCCACCATATTTGTTGAGGGATTTAGGCCCAGTTCCACAATTTGCTTTAAACGGAGTTTAAAGCTAAACCAATGGTTAAAAGCAATAGTATATGCGCGTATACTATTGCTTTTAACCATTGGTTTAGCTTTAAACTCCATTTAAAGCAAGTTGTGGAACTGGGCCTTAGGTCGTGGTGCAAGTACCGTTGTTTGTCATTAATGTGTATCAAATTAAATTAAAAGCGGCTACCAGTTAATTTCCAACATCATCTTTTAATCGAGTTATTATATCGGCAATTTATTTATATCACAAATTTAATAGATGTATTTTAAGGAGAACATATTAGACTTACTATTTACTTCCGAACAAACGTTATACACCAATTTGTTCATCATCTATAAATGATTAAAACCAAAGGAGCATTCTTTATATCAAAATTAAATAACTCTGTAAAAAAAATATTCCTTTTTATTTCTTTTTACATTTTTGTATACCCGTAAAAATTCGCGCTGTCCTTGCCTTCTCCAATTCCGTTTCGATCTCAGTGTGTGTGTGTGTGTGTTGCTAAAAAAGGAGACCCATTACTTGGTCTGTTCTTTTCTTCTGCATCGCTGCACTGGTGCAATATGTTAAAGTGAGACAAATATATACTTGTCTCACTCGAACTTATTGCACTAGTGCAGCGGTGCAGAGGAAAAGAACAGACCTATTTTGAACTTAATATCTTTCGAATAAAAAGAGAAACCTGTTACCCTGAGAACTTATTATCTTTCAGTTATTTAAACTACCGGCGAATATTATTGTATCCTACAGGTTATGAGCCTGCTGCTTTTCTGTTCTCGCTAGTAAAGGCAACGTTATTTCCAATTCTCCTTCTGACATCGCGCCATTGCTACGTGTTTTTGCATCAGCTGTAAGTTCATACTCTTCTCTATACGCAAACGTCAATCGTGAGAAGCAATAATAATGGAGGCATGTAATGCTGTTGAGCGCGAAGTGGATAAGGTTCTGTTGAAATTCGGTGCTATTAACGAACATGCAGAAACAGTGTTACACGATCTGATAAGTCACATCGAATCCCTTAAAAGAGATTTAGAAGCAGGTAAGATACTTTGGTGGCAGTTACCTAAATTCTTTGTCTGACATCTTTGTCCTTATGTCAGTGAGAGTCAATGATCATTTGGTAACTAAATTTTGCGTTTTATAAAGCTCACAATCTCTGGCTATTAATATATTGAATTTATTTTTTGATTGGTCGGTCTTTATTTATTAATGTATATGTGTATGGTATGTTGTGTTACTTTAAAGAATTCTAACCTCTAAACAGAGTTAATATTGTCTTATTAGATAGATTGCTTATTATTTATTTCTATCACAGGTATCATTTAATGCATTTCTCCAATAGTACAATTTATAGCTAATGCGAGGAAGATAATTTGCAATTAATTTTGACAAATAACTCATACAAATGTTACTTATTATAGCACCATCCGGAAATGAAGTGACACCCGATCAAGTACAGGTATTAAAACAAGCAATGACAAAAGTACGTGATACTGTGATAAAGTTGGCAACAGATCATCGCGACTTGCATAGTACAGTCTCCAAAGTGGGTAAGGCTATAGACAGAAATTTCATTGCTGACTTTGCCAGTACTAGCAGAGAAGATGTATTCTGTGGGCCGGAGAAGTCTCATCTTCTAAATCAAGTAATCTGTCAACACTTTTATCGCCAAGGAATGTTAGATATTGCTGATGAATTAGCAGCAGTAAGTCTCTTAATCAGATTTTGTATATCACGCGTACACACACATACATACACACTACCTAGCGCAAAATTGTATCAACTTAATTATATGTAGTAATGATCAGTAATATTTGTTTCAGGAGGCTGGAATTAAAACCGATGAAGGTAGAAAAGAGCCATTCACAGAATTAAATTTTATATTAGACTGTTTAAAACAGAGAAATCTTGAACCAGCGCTAGAATGGGCTAAGAAACACAGAGAAGCACTAATGGCACAGGTAGATATTTCCTGTTCACACATGCAATTTATTTTGCATTAGCATAATGCCTTCAGTTTTGTATCTTATTGCAGAATTCTTCTCTTGAGTTCAAACTGCACCGATTACAGTTTATAAGACTAGTTCAACAAGGCCCCTGTAAACAGACAGAGGCTATATTGTATGCTCGTCAAAATCTCACACGATTCGTTGGACGTCACGAGAAGGAAGTACAATCTTTGATGGGCACTTTACTTTATTTACCACATGGAATCCAATCATCTCCTTACAGTCACTTGTTGAATCCAACTTTATGGCTCGAGATACACGACGTTTTCACCAGGGAAGCATGCATGTTATTAGGCTTAAGCGTTGACAGTCCACTCTCTGTTTGGTATGTTTTTTCGCCCTTGAAAATCAACCGTGGGAATTGCGACCAAAAACAAAGCACTGTTACATTTGTTTGATTGTGCTGTTTAATTGCAGTATCAACGCAGGATGTACCGCATTACCCGCGTTGTTAAATATCAAACAAGTCATGCAGCAAAGACAAGTAACCGGCATTTGGAATGGTAAAGACGAGTTACCTGTAAGAGTTTTCATATCTTTTTGCTTTTTTATATTTTCATTTGATGAAATTCATATGGTTGAAAACGTCGTGCTCTTTCTGTGCAGATCGAAATAGACTTGGGTAAGCAAGGCCGCTATCATTCTGTTTTCGCCTGTCCTATTCTTAGACAGCAGAGTACAGAAAGCAATCCACCGATGAAGCTAGTTTGCGGGCACGTTATATCACGTGACGCATTAAATAAACTCACCAACGCGAATAAGTAAGTTCTTCATATATGGTGAAATTAGAGCGCATTAGCAGTGAAGTCACTTTTTAAAAGAAATCAATTTGTTTCAAGGTTGAAATGTCCCTACTGCCCAGTGGAACAGAATCCTGAAGACGCGAGACTTATTTATTTTTAGGCTGTGATATATATTATATACATGTGTAAAAAGCTAGTTTTGCAGTTTCTTTGTATAATGGATTATATATTAAAAGAGGAACAACAATACATAACACAACAGGTAATAATCGACAGATCGTAACAGAGCTCCATACTCTACACTCATCGTCAATAATTGTATCGTTCTAATGGGCGCTTTTGTTTGTTACAATATTGAAATTGATTCCATCTTTTCCACAAGATGCAGACGTAAGACCGTTAACTAGTATTAGCTTCACAGTCATTTTAAGATCAGTTCTTTGATATCGGGACATAGATAAGAAGAAAAAAAAAGGAGGAACTGTGATAGCTTTAATATTTGTGAGGTAGATGTAATTGTGCAATTGTATCGTAGGTAGACAATTTATATTATCCTAGATTAAGAGGAGATTTCAGCTATCCATGCGATTGACAAGTTAAGAGCCATAAATGTATGTCTAAGACGCCTAACAAATTTGTTATGAGATTCTTTCCGTATAATTGTTCATTTTTCATTTCAATTGTACCAGCTTGGTAAATGAAAATCATTTTATAAATATGCCTTTTTATTTACTCGACGTGTCCCACACTGCAATCTTGCGACGAGGTGTGTATTTAAATACGTCAAATATGCTGTTTTTTACCTTTTATATTTCAACTTCCTCATGTTCACACCTTCGGAAAATTTAAGCGCAGTATTGTTCGTTTTTGTCTGAAACATTTTTTCATGTATCTCCAAACAGCGAAAGTATATGAGAAAAACAAAATGTGCGTTCTATATACTTAGCTGCTTTTACGACGTGTCCGAAACTCAGCAAGATCGACGAGGGATATTCCGAGAGATACTTCCACTTATCCCCCTGTGAGCGAAGAGGCAGCTCCGAATTAGCCGCGCATATTTGCCGCGGCATGCGCTTCTTGCGACATCGATCAAACAGTAACGACAGTAACCATATATTGTTTGTTTCCTCAACTTTGACACACGATAACATTTCTTCGATACGTAGAATTTTCTTATAAACGATTCTATATGGGTGAGTAGTTATCCGCATTTTCGAGCCGATTCAATAATTATATTATTATTAAAGATAAAACAAAGAAAGAGATGCAATATCGGGAGTATTGGGAGTAAACTTTGTTTTACTTCTATAATTTTAATTAACAAGCGGAATCCAAGGCATCGACGTCTGTCTCACCGTCTGTCGAGAATAAACTTATTCGCGAGAAGAAGAGCGATGCCGTTGAAACGTTATCCCAAGTGGTCGGTGAGAATACAAATCGTGATGTCGCAAATAAATTAGAAACTCGAAAGGACGTCACAAAATCTGTACACAAGCCCAAGAGGATGGCTATTCTCGCGATGTCGTACGATGTCGACGAGATATCCTGCCGAGACCTGCAAGTTTCCCTACGTGAAATTAAAGAAAGCCCCCGACAGCCGTTTTCGTTCCTGGCGGATATCTGCGAGATATTCAACGACGAAAGATTGACGGCGGAGGCGGCGAAGCCTACGGAAATTGACGTAAGCCGCCGCGGAATCACGCGGAATCGCGAACAAATTTATATTACCGTGTGTGAGTGTAACCTCATCGCACTTTTACGTTTTTAATTAAGATGCAACTGGCCGCTGTGGCGAAGCGCATCGAATCGAGCAGAGCCTTGTTGGAGGAAGCCAAATCTCGCGTCAATGAGATACATCTGCGTGTCAAACGAGACGCCGCGATGCCGCAGCATTCATCAGGCACGCGCGTGCTTGAGTATCAAAGTCAAAAGTACCGCGATTAATACATAATTATTAAGTACAAAGCCAATCTCTTCATTGCTTCAGGAAACGCTAGAGCAGCAGCCTTGAGCAGTTTCGATCTTGTAAATGCGAAGGCAAAGCGATAAATCTAAATCGATGATGACTCTCTTCCTCTCAAAAGATCAAAAGTTTTCCTATTTATTTGTTTGATAAATAAATAAAATAGAAAAAAAAAACTTTTGTGTTCTATACTCTTAATAATGCTCAAAGATAAGCTTTTTTATTTGTCATATAAATATATTCCACGACAGCTTGTGTATCGCGTAAATAAAACACAATTTACCAACGACTCGGCTCGATTGAAATTCGTCTCACTCGCGCTTACACGAGAGACAAGTATAGTGACCCCCCTCTTCATGTATACTGTCGAGTAAAGATGACAAAGTCACGGTTCGAGAATATTCGCTTCTCTGGCGCATGTGCGAGATTCACGGAGAATTGGGCTTAATTGGGTGTAATTGCCGTCGCGAGGCGAGATCCGACTACTGGCTTATCCGACCACGAAGAGAGAGAGAGAGGAGCACCTGTTTGATTTGTGCACGAGGAATGCAAAATAAAAAATCGTAATATATATTGCAGCTCGACCGACGCGCCCAAGCAAAAATCATAACAACCACCGAGAGAGATACAGCGATCGAATTGTTTCGGATTCGATAATATAATAATATCGCGTAACAAAAGCGATCGTGCGATTAAGTGGTGTCCTCTCGTCTCAAGCAAGCGGACAAGATCCCCGCGGACATATCGACCTCGTTGCCGACCGTACCGAGTCTGGGACACCAGTTGCTCCTGTCGAAGCTCGTCTCAAGGATCTTCGACTGCTCGGCGTCGGCTTGCTCGCTGCATTTGCGGCTCGAGTCGCCGCGATCGTTCTCATCCAGCGACCACTGCGACGCGATCTCCTTGAAGGACTGCAGGTAGCCCGCGCTCTCGCGTATCTTCTCCAGCTCCTCGTTGCAGAGACGCTCGACTTCCAACAGCCTCTGCCTGTAGGCGTCGACGAGCGAGCGCTTGTACGCGTTGTAACGCCACTCGGCTTGCTCCATGGAGTATGGGTCTTGGTACTTGGCGAGGTTCTTCTCGTACTCGAGTATCGTGAGCTCCCGGACGCTCTGCTCGGCCGTGACGTCCACAGGTTGACCTGCGCCTTCGCCATAGGATGAGTGGCCCGTCAGGTTCACACCAGGTCATCACCAGTCAGAATCACAGCGTTGACTCAAGGTCGACTCGACGTCGATGAGGGTTGAATTCACCCCCCCCCCCAGTCAGAACCATAACGTTGATTTGACGTTGAAATGGTCGATGAACCGTAGAATCCAACGTTCATTCAACCCTCACTCGACGTCGAGTCAACGTTATGACTCTGACCGGGACGTCGGTTCATCGACCATTTCAACGTTATGGTGCTGGGACGCTGGGGCAGCATTCGGCTGTCGATTTCGCAACATCGAGGTGAATTATGCCGGTGCAACAATAGGCGGGAATCGTTACTTGGATCATTCGAGAGCGGCGACTCGATGGTGTAAGCTGCGGCCGCAGCGCGCGCGGCTGCCGTTGCCTCCTCGAACGCGAGAGCATCGCTTCGCTCGCGCAAGGACTGGTATTCCTCCTTCTCTCTTCGCCAAAGAGCCATCTCCCGGCTGAGTTCCTTGCGAAGACTCGTCATCTCCGAGCGGAGTCTTCGGATACGCTCATAAAGGGCAGATCTGCCGAGTGGTAGATTTTTCATCTCAGAACGAAGCCGCGAAATCGACTCTGGAGGCGAGGCTGTGCCTTCGAAGACGTATATTAGGTTGATGCGGAGAAGATTCGTTATTTCTCGAAATCAAATTTTCGTAGGAAATTTGGGTACTCATGGAGAAACAAGTGCTCGTTGGACATCTAAAACGGCGGCGCGAGTCAACGGTTGCTTATTTTACGCGTAAGGATGATTTTGAGTCGGATAGTTTTGTCTTCCATTTTGTCATGAGCGCGACAAACCTAATGATTTCTTCTCGCACCAACCTAATGATTGACGCCGAGAATGTTGAACCGTACGCCAATTCTCTCTCGCAGTCGACGGACGATCCAGCATCCGTGACGAGTCCGAGACGAGTCGCCGGTTGCTCGAATGTGTTCTCGTTCTCCTTCTCCTCCTCCTCCTCCTCCTCTTCCTCCTCGCCATCCGACGTCTCGGTCGTGGATACATCTTCAAGATCGATCGCGTTACGCGTGCCTTCCTCGCGACATTTGAGAATTTCGCAGTTTGGCGACTTCAAATCTCGCAGCGTGCCGTCGCTCGACGTGACAGGTGTCACCTCTGACGAAGAGACAGCCTCGTCGTCCATAGCCGTTGATCTCGTTTTCGAAATGCGTTCGAACAACCACGCGAAAGAGAGGATCTCGCCGACTGGTGGAATTCGCACTGTTACTCGTCCCGATGAATTGATCCCGGGAGCAAGTCTCGCGTTCTTGTTCCGGTTCTTCGCGAACTGAACCGCATACCGACGCGATCGCAATGGCGGTGACTTGAATTTAGCCGAAACTGAACAGCGCTCGTCGGTCAGTATCGAGTGGGCAGGATATGATAATAAATAAGCAGAGAAAACGAGAAGGAACTGGCGAATCGGAGGAAAGTCGCGTCGCAGGTGTATATATTGGACGTATATATTTATCTATGTAACGTTATAATAATTTTAGACAGTGTAATAACAAAAGATTTGCACTTAGTAATATTTATCACTTCTACTCGATAAATCTTCATCTTACTAATACACACTGCCGAGATTAACCTCAAGTGCTCGCGCGTGCTGGAAAGTTATGCAGACACGTATTAGCGAGCCTGGATACCTTCCCAGCAGGCAAAAACCGTACGCCCAAATCCTTAAGGCTTAAGGATTTAACGGTGAGATTTCACACGAAAAGAAGCCCCGCAGCAGGCCCGATCTTTCTTGTGAAAGAAAAATGTACAAAACGAAAGAAAAATCGCCTTTGACGATTGATCCTTTGTGCGAGCGCGAATACTTAAGAGGGTTAATCTGCCGCGTATATATTAATTAATATATATATATATATTGATCACGAGATTGCAACAAGTTATAATTTTTTTTTACGTTATTCACAGCATCGATCGTTTTTTTTTTAAGCACTTGCTTCGAAGACCGCTTCGACGAAGCAATATCGATACCGAGAGATCGACGTGATTGAGGTCGCTCGTTGAGGTCGTATGTACACAATGTGGCCCGAGAGGACTCGCGAAACTACGTCCCTCGCCCTCCTTCGGGTTCTCACGGAGATATTGCATGTTCAATTGTACTTGTCGTACTTAATTAAAGAGCGACCACGAACTGTACGATCTAAAAATTTATAATTTCTACCTTTCTTCTCTATGTACAAAATTTCGGTTCCGAGCGTGATGCGCCGCGGCCCGACGAAATATCATTGTCATCATAGCCTACATCTTCGTTGTCTTCGTCCAAGGTATTACGAGATTTGTATCTCAAGTGCATCCCCGAACTTCCCCTCTCTCTCTCTCTCTCTCTCTCTCTCCTTGTACTAAGAAATCAATTAAAATCTAAATGTGCTCGCGCGAACGACATATTTATGTACAAGAGAACCGGGGGAGAGTCCCCCGAGTCAGTCATGTGAGCGCAAAGAGCATCCGAAAGGAAAACAAAAATATTGATATCTATAGAGGACGAATCTCTTTACACCGTTTGCACTTTATTGACGCGCACTGGGTGCACGCGTTTTTTTACCCCGACGGCCTGTGTGGGAGAAGGTTCGACGTGAAACAATGCGACGAAAAACATCTACGGCTGAAGCGCGGCCGACTGACGGACGATCGACGGCGCGCGCGTCCAGCGAGCCGCGAAAGGCCGGAGACAACGACTACGTCCGCGTCTGCTAGAAGCCTAAACGTTTGAGATTCGTTCGTATTGCCTGGCTGTTGTTCACTCTTGACTTGTTGTCACCCTGCCAGCTCTTGCTCTTGCTGCGAAACTGCCGGAGGTCCGCCTCGTGATCGGGATGTTTCATCGGTCTGTAGTCCTGCGGCGAGCAGAACTCCTTCTGGTCCTTGTAGAATTGCTCATAGCCGCCGTGTAGCAGGTAGACCTCCGGATAGTGCAGCGCCGGGTAATGCTCCTTGTTGCGCTGGCGGTCCAAGCTGCGCAGGAAGCGCGAGAGATTCGGTCCGCGTTCGCACGAGAACTCGCAGTGGAACACGAGTATGTCGCGCTTGTCGGTGTCGGGCCGGATCGTGGGAATCGTGGTCAAGGGGTCGAACAGGTTCTGCTCGATGAGATCCTTGTTGTAAAGGTTCATGGCTCCCCCGATGTGGCCCCCGTCGTACTCGTACGGATAACGGCAGTCGACGATCTTGTAGGATCGCACGCGATCGTCGAATTCGCCGCGTAACAGCGCCGCCAACGTGGTGGATGAGATGGACTTGAGATCCTGGTGGTAGCCCGTGGCGAGCGGCAGTATGCAGGGCTTGCTGAAGTCGCCGGTGAGGTCGGCGTCGGTGACGCTACGGTGCACCGCCGACTTGATGTTCGCCTCGGTCTCGGACATGCTTCTCTGCAGAAGCGGGATCTTTGGATACGGCATCGTCGTCGCGCTACGACGCTCGGCCACGTCGAGGCATAGGCTCTTCGACGTGCGGAACTTCTTGGACGTGTACTTGGGACTGTTGTCCACCGCCGACTGCTCCGACGGTCGTTTGCAAGACCTGCTGGACTGCGGTGACTGTGTCTCATCGTAGGATATTTTCGAGAAGGGAATCTTCCGGGGAGTCATCGGTCCGTTATCCTTCCATGCTTCCAGCAGCGCCGCCGTCGAGGAGGTCGCGCCGGGCGAGCGGAACAGGCAGGTACGCACCTTCGACAACGACTGCGAGAGCATATTCTGGTCGCACAGCGATAGCGACCGTCTCAGTCGGCTGGAGACGGTGCGAGAGAACTCGGGAGTCGTCGAGACGTCGTACTCCATCGACGACGACCCGGGCGCGACGAGGTTGCCGGACAGCAGCGACGAGATCCCGCTCGGGAGGTGCGTCGTGTCGTCCAGGGTCTCCATGTCGATGAGCTCGGTGAAGCCATCGTCCACCATGCTCTCGTATCCTGACGACTGACGCATCAAGGACGATCGTGCGACCCTCAGCTGCTGCGGCGAGGATCGCATTGGCGATTGCACCGGACTGCGCGAATCCACGGACATACGCCGCGGTGCCACGCCGGACGGCTCTGCGAACTGGAAGCCATCGCACTGCCGTTTCTCCTCCTTGTTGTCGTTCGCTCCGTAACCGCTGTCCTGGCTGTTGGGATCCCAGCAATCTTCCAGAGGCCATCGTATCTTTTTCGCGCTCTGAACAGGATAGAAGCACGGCAGTGAGTATACAGTGGGAGGCTAGATTTCGGAAAAGAAGCTCGATTAGGGCACGCTCGTACATTCTCTTCACTCGTTACTGCTTGCTTGCTCAACTTTGTTACAACAATTGATTGTGAGACTCGCGTGTCAACGGATCGTAAATTGGACTTCTCAATTTCTAACATAAAACGATAAGAACGATGATACGACCGAACTCGATATCGCACGCGTACGGAAACTCGAGCCATCTGCGACGAACTTGGAAAAGCCGCGACTACACACTAGGAAAAAACATTGAGTATCTCTAACAAAATTGTTTAGTTGAGGCATTTTTTAATATGCAACCAAATATCTTGTTTTATATAACAAAATATTTAGTTGTCTCAACTAAATATATTTTTCTGCTTTGTTCTCTGGACCAAATGAGTTTGTTCTTAGACTTCATTTATATAATTAAGTACTTTAGTTATTTTATCTATAAAAATTACATAATAACGAAATATTATTTTACATAAACTAAAATAATGCCCAATGGATATTAGTTTGTCCTTCTGTGCGCTAAAATTTAGATTTTATATATTAAGAAAAAATTACAGTATTTTTAACAAAATTCACATAGTTAAAGCTTTTTAGTTGCTATAACAAAAGTATTACACGATAACACGATTACACGATAACACGATACACGATTACGAACAAATCGTAATAAAACAAGATATTTGTTTGCAGGAACTAAACAGTTTTGTTGGGCATATTTTAACCAAATTATTTTGTTACAACAAAATTTTAGCTCATGCAACAATACATTTTTCCTAGTGCAGTCGAGAATATTCCGAGAAGGAAAAATCTTCACGCGAGTATGTGTCTCGTGAGTCGACGTTACGCGTAAAGTCCAAGTCGAAATCGAACTTTGACGAGTCGTTCTCGCGCGGGGAAATAGATGTTTCCGGCGAGGTTTATCGATCGAAGGTATCAACGGAGGATCACGAGGAGGCGAGTCGGGGAAACGGATCATCGGCGTAATTATCGTGGAGGAACAAGCGAGACAGAAACGAAGAACACGTCGCAGCAGGTTACCGTCGATCGCGCTCGTCGACGTCAACCGGACGCGCAAGGTGTCGCGCATGTATTAAAAAAAAAAAAAAAAAAAAAAAAGAAAGAAAAAGAAAAAATCCGAGACCGACGAGAGCGGAGATAATTTTCCCGTGGCGGAAGGCGCCGCGCGGAAGCTACGCCGCGCTATCTGCGATCGAGCCATGTAAATCGAAGCGACTTTCGTCGTTCGAGAGCCGATCGAGCGTCTCTCTTCGCTTCGTGATAATGAAAAGAGCAGCAGCTGTGCGCGCGGGCCGGATTTTCGTTGGCTCTAATCGCGGAAAAGACATCAGCCACCCTCGAGTCAAACGTCCGCTCGAATTGAATATGCATGGAATGCGTGAAAATCCCGACTGGTCTCGCGGTCGCGGATGTGCGTGGCGCGGTCGTCCAATCTGCGATGGAATCTACCGACATTGCGTCCTGATGTAAGTCTCGTAAGCAACGTCTCGTCGTTAAACGGCGTTTCGTCTGTTGCGAGACGTCGGAAGAGGAAGTCCGCCGCCTTGCGACTATCGTTCATGCGGAAATATTTCTCTCGTATATTTCGTCTCTTTACAATACGTTTCTACAGTATCTCGCGGCGAAAAAATATTTCGATGTCGTGTAACAAAGGAAAATTGCTGCCAAGGCTGGAAATTGGAATTCAGATTGCCGCGGATGGCTTCAAATTGAAGAGCGAACAGAAACTTTGCGAATGCAACCTTGTATATATTGTTTAATGCCAATATAATAATAATATCAACTCGTTACACACAGAAATTTGTTCGGTACATACAACAATCATCTCATTGACAGTAACGGAGTCTCGGTAACGGAGAACAGCCGTCGGGAGTCAGCGAGGACGAAAAATGTCACAGTAAGATTGAACCTCTGCCGAAGATTGCCTTTACCTTCTGAGGAGGACTGAATGACTGGTAGCTGCAGGGGGCGCTGTCGTTTTCCTTGTCGTTGTACTTGTCCAACATCTGGCTCCTGTATGGAGACTGTACCCAGTTGGAGCAGAACAGCAGCTTAGTATTTTGCACGGCTTCGTTTGTGCTTCTGCTCTGAACGCCGCATGACAACATTTGGTGCATGCTGTAAGAAAACCAAAACGGATCTCGTCAGTTCAGTAAACCAGACTGTGTGCGGGGAATCAAACGACTCGCTCGCGAGATCGAGCGTGTCGCGCACGTGTTGGCGCGCGCGCCGGGTCGTCGGACATGACACGTATGACTTAACCTCAAGAATTTCGCGAAATTGGCGGGACGCGAGGTACTCCGCCGTCGATGGTAAAAGCGAGCGACGATCCGGCATAGACGAGACCCCGTGGTCTCTCCTCGTCCTTCGCGCACTCTCGACTCTTCGCACGGTCGACCCGTGTCTTTCGCGAATATCTTTATCTACGCCACGCACGACACACGTCGAGCCGAGAGGAAACCGAGGCAGCTTCGCACTAACATTTCCATGGCGAGCCGAGCCGAGTCCTCATTTAGAGAAAACCGTGTCCTCCGTTTCGCCGAGAACCGCACCCGATCGCGTCACTCTCGAGATCTAATTGACGTACAATCCCGCGAAAATCCCGACACCGCGCGAAAGCCACTCTTCTCGCGCAGCTTACTCGCGATCTCTGTTGGCGCGCGATTAGCGCGGGTCTTCGACGCGCGCCACATCAAAATGAGGGTCTCACTGCGCATGCGCCGCCCGGCGCGCTCGCGCGCGTGTACGTTTGTTTCCTCATTTGTACCGACACAAAATCCGTCCGTTCTCGTTATCGCACGATACATTGATCTATTGTATCCGTGCTTCTAACGACGTTCGCTTTTCACATTTCTCTTGGCACAGGGACGAGAACCCGTGACGAACACGTTCCAAAATGCACGCAAGATGAGCGCGAGGCCGTTCAGGTAGTACAAACATGTGTCGAGGAAATGTGTCTGAAGAAATTTTTAGGAAATTTAGGATTTTAGGAAATGTGCGTGGACAATCTTGTCCTCTTCTCATTACTGTCGAAAAATTGTCTCTACGATATCTTTAGGAGCAACACTTTCACGGAGTCGGAACTGATACTTGAGATTACCTGGAGTTTTTATCTTCAGGTGCTTCTCCGTAGCGATCGATGAAACGATCCGCACACAACACCTGGAGACGAACTCGTGACGATCTCAAGCATGAGATCGGACTATGGACTTTTGAAAAATATCTCTGACAAATTTGTGCTGCCGCCCGGGCGCGAACTGTACATTTCGTTGGTGAAACCGTCAGGACTCGTCCGTTCGAAGTAACCAGGCCTAAGCAACCGGAAACACGATGGACGGGACTGCACGCATTCCACAACTTACACACTGCACTGCGCGGAAACCGTACTCGTCGGCAGATTCCGCTCGCGCGTCTACCTCGCCGATATGCTGACATCGCAAACCCCAACGACTAACCCGCGGAACCCGATCGGAAAGCGAGCCGGTGCACGACGTGATGCACCTACCTCGGATCGTGAAACCATGGTACGGTGGAGTTGTTTCGCTTTGTCACACAGGGCACGCTAGTCGATTGGGAAGCATGAAAAACCATGTTTTCTAATCAGCGCACTCGCGACTAACACGTCGGCCACTCGGAATGCACTTTTCGAGGGAAGCAGAGAGAGAGAGAGAGAAAGAGAGAGAGAGAGAGAGAGAGAAAGAGAGAGAGAGAGAGAGGGGAAAGGAGAAAAAAGAAAAAGAAGACAGAGAAAGAGAGGTAGAAGGAAAGGAAGAAAGAGAAAGAGGGAGACAGAGATCTCTCTTCCTGATTTGCGTGTTCTTTCTTCCTTCTAACGGAAGACACACGTGGACACCAACGGTCAAGGCGAAGATCCCGCGCGGCCGAGCGAACGAACAGACGACGACACTCCCTAAAACGACAATGCGCCGGTCGAACGCCAAATGCTGCCGCGCGCTGCCGACTGTTACTTTTATACAGTGAGCAGGGCGCTGGTGGGGATAGGCGGCCGCCAATGGCCAGTCGCGAAAGGGCCCGCCTAAACCGTAGGGCGCACCGGCAGGGGCGAGAGAGAGAGAGAGAGAGAGAGAGAGAGAGAGAGAGAGAGAGAGAGAGAGAGAGAGAGAGCGGGAGCGCGCGCGGTAACCTCTTTACAGGATAACCGCTGTGGGGGGCCGCGTGGCCGCGTATGCACTGTTGGATTTCCGTGCGCAAGTGCACATATGCGCGTCCTCGCACACATGTGCACGCGATGTGGATTCGATCCTCGTTGATCGCCCTCGCCCTCGTTCCCGGCCCTCCCCCCATCGCACCGCGTCGCCAGTCGACTCTCGTGCGAGTCCTTTTTTTCTCGTGCGAAAGGGTACCGGCTCCCTCCCCCCTCTCATCCTCTCTCTCTCTCTCTCTCTCTCTCTCTCTCTCTCTCTCTCTCTCTCTCTCTGTCGATATGTCGGCTCTCTCGCGAGTACTGGACCTTAATTGACCCCCCCGCATCTTTAATCCGGGGTTCGGCCGCGCCTGTCGTTCGTTATAACGTTACGGTTGTCCTTGTCGACGCCGACGCTCTGTCGCTGTCGGTCTTTTGTCATCGTCGGTTACGCTCGATGTTGGTTCTGAGTCAAGGGGGAGGGGCGAATCCGTTTCTGAGTAGCGAGTCGCGTCAAATTCGGGGGCTTGGTGCGGTCAAGTTTGCGAGTTGTTTCTGTTCGCAGGACAGAATGCGCTCGAACTGGATCCTGCGCGTGAAAGCTGCACTGAGAAAGATGCACCGCGGAGAAGAAAGTTTCGAGCGACCTATATACAGGTACATCTATGCACCGCGTATGAACAGTACGCAAAAATGTACAGTGTGGAATGTAGAAGAAGAGTAGTACACATACGTATAATGCAGAGCAATTAAGTCGACAGGAACAAATGCGCGGGAAAGCCATTTGGTCGAGCCGCGGTACCCTCGACTCGGCTACCCCGGGGCACTCTTCACGTTAATAAAAAGTTTCGGAACGGCCGAAGAGAAGACCTATGAGAGACGACCATCGTTTTCAGCATTTTCACCATTCAGGCGCGCGTGTTTCTTCTTGCAGGATCAGAGAGATCTTGGAAGATGCAACGCGACAGGTCTTCTCTCCTCGGGCCGCTTTTTTCCATTCGCCGAATCACAATGCCTCACCTGATCAGTCGGACCACCCTCGCATTCTTCGGGGATTTTCACATGTATACACGTACATACACGCGACAGGTATACGTCCTCAGAAGACTGCGGAGAATCGTGGCGAGACCGTCGCGTATTCACCTTTCGCCGTGCACACACTTTGTATGTACACACACGCGGCTCAAGCAGAGTCGAGCTGAGGTCTTAGAAAAATGAGCGCATGTGGATTTCCGCCGATCGTCGCCCGATGAATGCGTGACTCGAGCTCAAGCCCGAGTTGTGTACACCCGCGCTATTTAGACGCCATTTGTCGGATCTGTAACGTTATTGAGACGCGATCGATCCTCCGAGGATTTCGCCGCCGCGATGGACTCGTCGTCATTCGCCGCATGCGACGTTCGTATCGCGGAAGGATACGTCGACGCGGAAGGATACAATCGAAGGCTCACGACGAGGGGTGGAATCTACATTGAGGAGTAAGGAAAGTCACAAGAATTCTCGGAGACAAATTTTCTCATTGACACGTTGACTAACTTTCTAAAAGTTAGAATTCCCTGAGATTTCTCGGAAACAAATTTTCTCATTGATCGTCAGCTGACTTTCTAAAAATATGTTAACCTTCTCCTAATATCTCACGACGTTGGCACGTATTGTGAAGAAGAGATAAGCCGAGAGGATAAGAAAGATTGAGACGAAAAATAAAAAACTTTTGTCATGAGACATTCGTTCGATGTCTAAAACATATATGTATATATACGATAAAAGTCAGATTATCATATTTGTTTGAATTCTTTCTTATCCTCTCGGTTTATCACCTTTTCACAATACGTGCCATCGTCATGAGGCATCAGGAGAAGGTTAACAATTTTTAGAAAGTCAGCTGACGGTCAATGAGAAAATTTGTTTCCGAGAGACCTCAGGAAATTCTATATATATATATATATATATATATTATATATTACATTATTATAGCGTTACTAATGAGGGACATTGAAAGAAAAGGGATAAGAAAGGATCCAACAAAGGAGTTCACAAAAGCGAGAAAAAACTGCTGTGACAAAGCCCCAAAAAATGCCAAGTTTCCCAAGTTCATCATGCCTGCCTCGAAGCAGCCGTCCTTGAAAGGGCACCTTGAAGAAACCCACGAGAATGCGAAAACGCGGACCGATCATTGCTAGCGAATCATCGAGGGCTCGACGTAGCGGCGCCGGCGAATCCAACGTATTTATTGACTTATATCCTTGGCGCAGGATCAGCTGTCGTTTGACTTGATCGTGCCAGCACGTGAGTTCCTTTGAGGTAAGCACAAGGGGTGGTTTCTTCGCACGTACGATTGTTCCAGGTCGCGCGAGCGAGGGGGGAGGAGCGCGTACTCCTACAATGCCTGCGCGAAAGGCAGACAGGCCCAAAATACCCCCCATCGCAGACCTCTGGTGGTGGACATGCAACGTCAACGACGTCGACGACGTCGACGACGACGTCAACGACGACGACGACGACGACGACGGTGGCGTGCGGTGTGCATTGCGCGAGTGAGCGTTTCGCCGCAAAGAGCGACGGGCGGGGAGCGCCTCTCGCCGGCGCATGGGGGTAGCTCAGCTGCTTTCTGCCGTGAAACCAGCGAATCGGGGGTCGCAGACCCCCTTGCGGACAGCTGCGAGATCGTACACCTTCGACGTTTCGCTCCCCCTATGCGCGCTCTCCTCTCCTCTCCTCTCCTCCTCGTTACTCCACGGGACCCCCACCTCGCCCCTCCGCGCAATTTAATATATGACGCATGCAGTAACAGCTTTTTACCGATCGTTTCCGCGCGCCTATCGATCCGCGGATCGCCCGAGATTTCGCTGCTCGTCGCACCCCCGCGTCCTGCTTGATTAGACGCTCAGGGGCGGTAATATCGGTAATGCAAAATTGTTGCTTTCGCCTGTCGATCGCCACCCACATCAAAAATATGTCGAAATCGGCCAGGTAT